TTAAAAATTCACTGAATTGGTCCCAGTGAGGGACACCAAAAACCCAAAAAATCCCCCCAAAATTGGGAAGATTTTACCCCAAAATTCACTAAATTGGCCCCAAAATTTACCTGAATCTACTCAAAAAATCTTTGAATTATTCACAGTGAGGGACACCAAAAAACCCCAAAAAATTCCCTCAAAATGCTCCAAAATTGTGAAAATTTTACCCCAAAATTCATTAAATTGACCCCAAAAATTCACTTAAAAATTCACTGAATTGGTCCCAGTGAGGGACACCAAAAACCCCAAAAAATTCCCCCCAAAAAACCCAAAATTGGGAAGATTTTACCCCAAAATTCAATGAATTGGCCCCAAAAATTCACTTAAAAATTCACTGAATTGATCCCAGTGAGGGACAGGTGAGGGACACAAAAACCCCAAAAATTCCCCCCAAAAAACCCCAAAATCCTGAAGATTTTACCTCAAAATCCTGAAGATTTTACCCCAAAATTCAATAAATTGGCCCCAAAAATTCACTTAAAAATTCATTGAATTGGTCACAGTGAGGGACACCAAAATCCCAAAAAATCACAACAAAAAATCCCAAAATTGGGAAGATTTTACCCCAAAATTCACTGAATTGACCCCAAAAATTCACTTAAAAATTCATTGAATTGGTCCCAGTGAGGGACCGGTGAGGGACACCAAAAACCTCAAAAATTACCCCAAAAAACCCCAAAATTCTGAAGATTTTACCCCCAAAATTCATTAAATTGACCCCAAAAATTCACTTAAAAATTCATTGAATTGGTCACAGTGAGGGACACCAAAAACCCCAAAAATTCCCAAAAAAACCCCAAAATCCTGAAGATTTTACCCCAAAATTCACCTGAATCTACTAAAAAAAATCCTTGAATTATTCACAGTGAGGGACACCAAAAACCCAAAAAAATCCCCCAAAAAACCCCAAAATCCTGAAGATTTTACCCCAAAATTCACTGAATTGGCCTCAAAAATTCACTTAAAAATTCACTGAATTGGTCCCAGTGAGGGACACCAAAAACCCCAAAATTCCCCCCAAAAAAACCCCCAAAATTGTGAAGATTTTACCCCAAAAATCATTAAATTGACCCCAAAACTTCCCTGAATCTACTCAAAAAATCTTTGAATTATTCACAGTGAGGGACACCAAAAACCCCCAAAAAATCCCCAAAAAAAACCCCAAAATTGGGAAGATTTTACCCCAAAGTTCATTAAATTGACCCCAAAAATTCACTTAAAAATTCATTGAATTGGTCACAGTGAGGGACAACCAAAAATCCCAAAAAATTCCCTCAAAATGCTCCAAAATTGTGAAGATTTTACCTCAAAATTCATGAAATTGGTCCCAAAACTCACCTGAATCTACTCAAAAAATCCTTGAATTATTCACAGTGAGGGACACCAAAAACCCCAAAAAATCCCTGTAAAAAACCCCCAAATCCTGAAAATTTTACCCCCAAATCCTGAAGATTTTACCCCAAAATTGTGAAGATTTTACCTCAAAATTCACTGAATTGGCCCCAAAAATTCACTTAAAAATTCACTGAATTGGTCACAGTGAGGGACACCAAAAACCCCAAAAATTCCCCCCAAAAAACCCCAAAATCCTGAAGATTCAGGTGAGTTTTGGGGTCAATTTAATGAATTTTGGGGTAAAATCTTCAGGATTTTGGGGCTTTTTTGAGGTTTTTTTTTGTGTTTTTCGTGTCCCTCACTGTGACCAATTCAATGAATTTTTAAGTGAATTTTTGGGGCCAATTCAATGAATTTTGGGGTAAAATCTTCACAATTTTGGGGTTTTTTGGGGGATTTTTTGGGGTTTTTGGTGTCCCTCACTGTGACCAATTCAATGAATTTTTAAATTAATTTTTGGGGCCAATTTATTGAATTTTGGGGTAAAATCTTCACAATTTTGGGGTTTTTTGGGGGAATTTTTTGGGGTTTTTGGTGTCCCTCACTGTGAATAATTCAAGGATTTTTTGTGTAGATTCAGGTAAATTTTGGGGCCAATTTAATGAATTTTGGGGTAAAATCTTCAGGATTTTGGGGTTTTTTTGGGGGATTTCTTGGGGTTTTGGGTGTCCTCCACTGTGACCAATTCAATGAATTTTTAAGTGAATTTTTGGGGCAAATTCAGTGAATTTTGGGGTTTTTTGTTGGGATTTTTTGGGGTTTTTGGTGTCCCTCACTGTGAATAATTTAAGGATTTTTTGAGTAGATTCAGGTGAGTTTTGGGGTCAATTTAATGAATTTTGGGGTAAAATTTTCAGGATTTTGGGGCTTTTTGGGGATTTTTGGGGTTTTTGGTGTCCCTCACTGTGACCAATTCAGTGAATTTTGAAGTGAATTTTTGGGGTCAATTTAATGAATTTTGGGGGTAAAATCTTCAGGATTTTGGGGCTTTTTGGTGGGATTTTTTGGGATTTTGGTGTCCCTCACTGGGATCAATTCAATGAATTTTTAAGTGAATTTTTGGGGCCAATTCAGTGAATTCTGAGGTAAAATTTTCACAATTTTGGGGTTTTTTGGGGGGATTTTTTGGGGTTTTTGGTGTCCCTCACTGTGAATAATTCAAGGATTTTTTGTGTAGATTCAGGGAAGTTTTGGGGCCAATTTAATGAATTTTGGGATAAAATCTTCAGGATTTTGTGGGTATTTTGGGGGATTTTTGGGCTTTTTGGTGTCCCTCACTGTGAATAATTCAGTGAATTTTTAAGTGAATTTTTGGGGTAAATTTATTGAATTTTGGGGTAAAATTTTCACAATTTTGGGGTTTTTTGTTGTGATTTTTTGGGGTTTTTTTGGGGGGTTTTTGGGGGGATTTTTGGGGATTTTTTGGGGGGATTTTTGGGGTTTTTGGGGGGATTTTTGGGGGTTTTTTGGGGGGTTTTTTTGGATTTTTTGGGTTTTTTGGGGGGGATTTTTTGGGGGTTTTTTGGGGGGATTTTTGGGGGTTTTTTGGGGGGATTTTTTGGGGGGATTTTTTGGGGTTTTTGGGGGGATTTTTTGGGTTGTTTTGGGGGGATTTTTGGGGTTTTTGGGGGATTTTTTGGGGTTTTTTGGGGGATTTTTTGGGGTTTTTTGGGGGATTTTTTTGGGTTTTTTGGGGGGATTTTTGGGGGTTTTTGGGAGATTTTTTGGGTTTTTTTGGGGGGATTTTTGGGGGTTTTTGGGGGATTTTTGGGGTTTTTTGGGGGGGATTTTTTTGGGGTTTTTGGGGGGATTTTTGGGTTTTTTTAGGGGGATTTTTTGGGGTTTTTTGGGGGGATTTTTTGGGGTTTTTGGGGGGATTTTTTGGGGGGATTTTTGGGGTTTTTGGGGGAATTTTTGGGGTTTTTTTGGGGGGATTTTTTGGGGGGATTTTTTGGGTTTTTAGGGGGGATTTTTTGGGGTTTTTGGGGGGATTTTTTGGGGTTTTTTGGGGGGATTTTTTGGGTTTTTTGGGGGGATTTTTTGGGGTTTTTTGGGGGGATTTTTGGGGTTTTTGGGGAGATTTTTTGGGGTTTTTTGGGGGATTTTTTGGGGATTTTTGTGTCCCTCACTGTGATCAATTCATTGAATTTTTAAGGTGAATTTTTGGGGCCAATTTAATGAATTTTAGGGTAAAATCTTCAGTATTTTGGGGTTTTTGGGGGGATTTTTTGGGGTTTTTTGGGGGATTTTTGGGGGTTTTTTGGGGGGATTTTTGGGATTTTTGTGGGATTTTTGGGTTTTTTTGGGGGATTTTTGGGGTTTTTGGTGTCCATTCTCACCTGTCCCATCTCTCCTTTCCCAGCTGACCTCGGGCTCCTACGGCTCCGGAAGCTCCGGAGGATTCCAGGGGGGACAAATCACCCTGAGCATGCAAAAGGTAACGGGAAATTTGGGGAGAATTCCGGGGATTTTGGGAAAAAATTGGGAATTTTGACAAAAAAATCGGGAATTTTTGGGTGAATTTCTGAGGAAAATCGGGGATTTTGTCACATTTTTTGGAGAATTTTTGGTGAATTTTGGGGGCAATTTTGGTTTTTTTGGGGAGAGAATATTTGGGGAAAATTTGGGAATTTTTGGGGAGAATTTGTTTTTTAAATTGGGAATTTTGGGGAAATTTTAAGAATTTTTGGTAGAATTTTGAGATATTTTTGGGAGAATTTTTGGAGAAAATTGGGGGAAATTCAGGAATTTTGGGGAGAATATTTGGGGTAAATTTTAAAATTTGGAAATGTTGGGGAGAAATAGGGGAAAAAATTGGAAATTTGGGGGGAAAATTTAGGAGGATTTGGGGAATTTTGGGAATTTTTCAGGAAAATTGGGGGAAATTGGAAAATTTGGGGGGGGGGAATTTGAGAATTTTTGGGGAAAATGGGGGCAAAATTGTGGAATTTGGGGAAAAATTTGGGAAGTTTGGGGGATTTTTGGGAGAATTTGGGGGGGAAATTTGGGAGGGAATTGGGACTATTGAAGAAAAACTGAAAAATTTGGGAAGTTTGGGGGTGAATTTGGGAATGTTTGGGAAAATCAGGAAAAATTTGGGAATTTTGGGAAAAAATAGGAAAATTTCAGAAAAAATGGGAAATTTTTGATGGATTTGGATCAAATTTTGGGGGTTTTTTTGTGGGAATTTTTGGGAATTCAGGAATTTTGACAACCCCAGGGATTTTTGGGGTGAAATTTGGGATTTTTTGGGGTTTTTTCCCCCCACTTTAAGATGTTGAACTTTGGACAGATTTAGAGTGGAATTTTGATGATTTGGGTCAAATTTTGGGGTTTTTTTGTGGGAATTTTGGAAATTCTTTGGATTTTTTGGGAATTTTTGGAATTTTGGAATCCCAGTGGAATTTTGGGGTAAATTTTGGTAATTTTGGGGTTATTTCCCCCCACTTTGAGATTCTGAACTTGGGACAAATTTAGAATGGAATTTTGATGGATTTGGGTTAAATTTTGGGGTTTTTTGTGGGATTTTTGGGAATTCTTCGAGAATTTTTGGAAATTTATGGAATTTTGGATTTCCCCTGGAATTTTGGGGTAAATTTTGGTAATTTTGGGGTTTTTTTTCCCCCCCACTTTGAGATGCTAAACTTGGGACAGATTTAGAGTGGAATTTTGATGGATTTGGATCAAATTTTTGGGTTTTTTTGTGGGATTTTTTGGGAATTCTTTGAGAATTTTTGGAAATTTGTGGAATTTTGGATTTCCCCTGGAATTTTGGGGTGAATTTTGGTAATTTTGGGGTTTTTTGCCCCCCACTTTGAGATGTTGAACTTTGGACAGATTTAGAGTGGAATTTTGATGGATTTGGGTCAAATTTTGGGGGTTTTTTTGTGGGATTTTTTGGGAATTCTTTGAGAATTTTTGGAAATTTGTGGAATTTTGGATTTCCCCTGGAATTTTGGGGTGAATTTTGGGATTTTTTTGGGGGTTTTTTCCCCCCACTTCGAGATGCTGAACTTGGGACAGATTTAGAGTGGAATTTGGATGGATTTGGGTCAAATTTTGGGGTTTTTTTGTGGGATTTTTTTGGGAATTCTTTTGGAATTTTTGGGAATTTTTTAGAATGTTGGAATCCCACTGGAATTTTGGGGTGAATTTGGGGATTTTTGGGGTTTTTTGCCCCCCACTTTGAGATTCTGAACTTGGGACAGATTTAGAGTGGAATTTTGATGGATTTGGGTCAAATTTTGGGGTTTTTTTGTGGGATTTTTTGGGAATTCTTTGGGAATTTTTGGGAATTTATGGAATATTGGAATCCCAGTGGAATTTTGGGGTGAAATTTGGGATTTTTGGGGTTTTTTCCCCCCACTTTGAGATGTTGAACTTGGGACAGATTTAGAGTGGAATTTTGATGGATTTGGATCAAATTCTGGGGTTTTTTTGTGGGAATTTTTGGGAATTCAGGAATTTCGACAACCCCAGGGATTTTTGGGGTGAATTTGGGGATTTTTGGGTTTTTTTATCCACTCCAATTTGAGATGCTGAACTGGGCTTTGGATGGATTTGGGGTGGAATTTTGATGGAAATTCTGTGGATTTTTGTGGGATTTTTTGGGGAATTCTTGGGGAGTTTTTGGGAATTCGGGAATTTTGACAACCCCAGGGATTTTTGGGGTGAAATTTGGGATTTTTTGGGGTTTTTTTTTTCCCCCCTCAGTTTGAGATGCTGAACGCGGAGCTGGAGGGGAACCAGGACCTGGCCAATTCCCGCATGGCTGAGCTGGAGAAGCTGCAGCTGGAGCTGCAGGCGGCCGTCAGGGGACAGGAGAGGCTCAAGGTGACATTGGGGACATTGGGGACATTGGGGACATTTGGGGACATTGGGGACATTGGGGGACATTGGGGACAATGGGGACATTGAGCAAAAATGGGAGAAATTTGGGAAAAAATGGTGGAAAAATGGGATTGGGGACATTGGGGATGTTGGGGATATTGGGGACGTTGGGGACATTGGGGGACATTGGGGACATTGGGGGTGTTGGAGACATTGGGGACATGGAGCAAAAATGGGAGAAATTTGGGAAAAAATGGTGGAAAATTGGGAAAAATGGGATTGGGGGACAATGGGGACATTGGGGACAATGGGGACAATGGGGGTGTTGGGGACATTGAGCAAAAATGGGGGGAAATTGGGAAAAAATGGGACTGGGGACATTGGAGACATTGGGGCCGTCAGGGGACAGGAGAGGCTCAAGGTGACACCGGGGACATTTGGGGACATTTGGGGACATTGGGGGATATTGGGGGCATTGGGGACATTGAGCAAAATGGGGAAAAATGGGAAAAAACGGGAGAAATTTGGGGAAAAATGGTGGAAAAATGGGATTGGGGACACTGGGGACATTGGGGGCTTTGGGGACATTGGGGATGTTGGGGACATGGAGCAAAAATGGGAGAAATTTGGGAAAAAAAATGGTGGAAAATTGGGAAAAATGGGATTGGGGACACTGGGGACATTGGGGACATTGAGAAAAAATGGGGGAAAATTGGAAGAAATGGGAGTGGGAACATTGGGGACATGGAGCAAAAATGGGAGAAATTTGGGAAAAATGGTGGAAAATTGGGAAAAAATGGGATTGGAGACATTGGGGGGCGTTGGGGACATTGGGGACATTGAGAAAAAAATGGGGAACGTTGGGAAAAAAATGGTGGAAATTTGGGGGAAAAATGGGATTGGGGACATTGGGGACATTGGGGGGGTTGGGGACATTGGGGACATTGGGGACATTGAGCAAAAATGGGGAAAAACGGGAAAAACGGGAGAAATTTGGGAAAAAATAGTGGAAAATGGGATTGGGGACATTGGGGGCTTTGGGGACACTGGGGACATTGGGACATTGGGGACAATGGGGGTGTTGGGGACATTGAGCAAAAATGGGGAACGTTGGGAAAAAATGGTGGAAATTTGGGGAAAAATGGGATTGGGGACATTGGGGGGGTTGGGGACATTGGGGACATTGAGGACATGGAGCAAAAATGGGAGAAATTTGGGAAAAAATGGGATTGGGGACACTGGGGACGTTGGAGGGGTTGGGGGACATTGGGGGCGTTGGGGACATTGGGGACATGGAGCAAAAATGGGAAAATTTGGGAAAAAATGGTGAAAAATTGGGAAAAATGGGATTGGGGACATTGGGGGCTTTGGGGACATTGGGGACATGGGGGACATTGGGGGTGTTGGGGACATTGAGCAAAAATGGGGGAAAATTGGAAAAAATGGGATTGGGGACATTGGGGACATTGGGGGTGTGGGGGACATTGGGGGCATTGGGGACATGGAGAAAAAATGGGAGAAATTTGGGAAAAATGGTGGAAAATTGGGAAAAATGGGACTGGGGACGTTGGGGCATTGGGGGACATTGGGGACATTGGGAGACATTGGGGGACATTGGGGGTGTTGGAGACATTGGGGACATGGAGCAAAAATGGGAGAAATTTGGGAAAAAATGGTGAAAAATTGGGAAAAATGGGATTGGGGACATTGGGGGCTTTGGGGACATTGGGGACATTGGGGACATTGAGCAAAAATGGGAGAAATTTGGGAAAAAAATGGGGGAAAATTGGGACTGGGGACATTGGGGACATTGGGGACATTGGGGCCGTCAGGGGACAGGAGAGGCTCAAGGTGACACCCGGGGACATTTGGGGACATTTGGGGACATTGGGGGATATTGGGGGCATTGGGGACATTGAGCAAAAATGGGGAAAAATGGGAAAAAACGGGAGAAATTTGGGGAAAAATGGTGGAAAAATGGGATTGGGGACACTGGGGACATTGGGGGCTTTGGGGACATTGGGGATGTTGGGGACATGGAGCAAAAATGGGAGAAATTTGGGAAAAAATGGTGGAAAATTGGGAAAAATGGGATTGGGGACACTGGGGACATTGGGGACATTGAGAAAAAATGGGGGAAAATTGGAAGAAATGGGAGTGGGAACATTGGGGACATGGAGCAAAAATGGGAGAAATTTGGGAAAAATGGTGGAAAATTGGGAAAAAAAGGGATTGGAGACATTGGGGACATTGGGGACATTGGGGACATGGAGCAAAAATGGGAGAAATTTGGGAAAAAATGGTGAAAAATTGGGAAAAAATGGGATTGGGGACATTGGGGACTCACATGGTTCCAGGTGTCACTCAGGTGTCCCTCAGGTGACACTCAGGTGACTCAGGTGTATCAGATGTCATTCAGGTGCCACTCAGGTGCCACTGAGGTGTCACTCAGGTGACATTCAGGTGTCACTGAGGTTATTCAAATGACTCAGGTGTCACTCAGGTGCCCCTCAGGTGACACTCAGGTCACTCAGGTGTCCCCCAGGTGTCACTCAGGTGCCACTCAGGTGTCATTCAGGTCACTCAGGTGCCACTCAGGTGTCACTCAGGTGTCACTCAGGTGTCACTCAGGTGTCACACAGGTGTCACACAGGTGACTCAGGTGTATCAGATCTCATTCAGGTGACCCTCAGGTGTCACTCAGGTGTCACTCAGGTCATTCAAATGACTCAGGTGTCCCCAAGGTGTCACTCAGGTGTCACTCAGATGTCACTCAGGTGTCACTCAGCTCATTCCAATGATTCAGGTGTCACTCAGGTGTCACTCAGGTCATTCAAATGACTCAGGTGTCACTCAGGTGTCACTCAGGTGTCACTCAGATGTCACTCAGGTGTCACTCAGCTCATTCCAATGATTCAGGTGTCACTCAGGTGTCACTCAGGTGTCACTCAGGTTATTCAAATGACTCAAGTGACCCTGAGGTGACACTCAGGTGTCACTCAGGTGACTCAGGTGTAGCAGATGTCACTCAGGTGTCACTCAGGTCATTCAAATGACTCAGGTGACCCTCAGGTGTCACACAGGTGTCACTCAGGTCATTCCAATGATTCAGGTGTCACTCAGATGTCACTCAGGTGACTCAGGTGCCCCTCAGGTGACCCTCAGGTGTCCCCTCAGGTGGCTCTGCGCTCTTTACCCGAGGAGGCGGTGAAGGAGGCCCTGGAGTACAAGGTGCTGCAGGTGTCACTCAGGTGTCACTCAGGTGACTCAGGTGTCACTCAGGTGTCACTCAGGTCACTCAGGTGATTCAGGTGGCATTCAGGTGACATTCAGGTGTCACTCAGGTTATTCAAATGACTCAGGTGCCCCTCAGGTGCCCCTCAGGTGTCACTCAGGTGTCACTCAGGTGTCCCTCAGGTGTGTCAGGTGTCACTCAGGTGACTCAGAGGTCACACAGGTGACCCTCAGGTGTCCCCTCAGGTGGCTCTGCGCTCTTTACCCGAGGAGGCGGTGAAGGAGGCCCTGGAGTACAAGGTGCTGCAGGTGTCACTCAGGTGACTCAGGTGTCACTCAGGTGACCCTCAGGTGTCCCCTCAGGTGGCTCTGCGCTCTTTACCCGAGGAGGCGGTGAAGGAGGCCCTGGAGTACAAAGTGCTGCAGGTGTCACTCAGGTGTCACTCAGGTGTCACTCAGGTGATTCAGGTGGCATTCAGGTGTCACTCAGGTGCCCCTCAGGTGTCACTCAGGTCATTCCAATGACTCAGGTGTCCCCAAGGTGTCACTCAGATGTCACTCCAGTGTCCCTCAGCTCATTCCAATGACTCAGGTGTCACTCAGGTGTCCCCCAGGTGTCACACAGGTGACTCAGGTGTCCCTCAGGTGCCCCTCAGGTGACCCTCAGGTGTCCTTCAGGTCATTCCAATGACTCAGATGTCACTCAGGTGTCACTCAGATGTCACTCAGGTGTCACACAGGTGACTCAGGTGTATCAGATCTCATTCAGGTGTCACTCAGGTCACTCAGGTGTCACTCAGGTCATTCCAATGACTCAGGTGATCCCCGGTTTTCAATCAGGTGACTCAGGTGTCACTCAGGTGTGTCAGGTGTCACTCAGGTGTCACTCAGGTGACTCAGGTGTCACTCAGGTGTCATTCAGGTGACTCAGGTGCCCCTCAGGTGACTCAGAGCTCACTCAGGTGTCCCCTCAGGTGGCTCTGCGCTCTTTACCCGAGGAGGCGGTGAAGGAGGCCCTGGAGTACAAGGTGCTGCAGGTGTCACTCAGGTGACTCAGGTGTCACTCAGGTGTCCCTCAGGTGTCCCTCAGGTGACTCAGGTGTCCCTCAGGTGTCACTCAGGTGTCACTCAGGTGTATCAGATGTCACTCAGGTGTATCAGAGGTCACACAGGTGCCCCTCAGGTGTCCCCTCAGGTGGCTCTGCGCTCTTTACCCGAGGAGGCGGTGAAGGAGGCCCTGGAGTACAAGGTGCTGCAGGTGTCACTCAGGTGTCACTCAGGTGTCACTCAGGTGACTCAGGTGACACTCAGGTGTCACTCAGGTGACATTCAGGTGTCACTCAGGTCATTCCAATGACTCAGGTGTCCCCAAGGTGTCACTCAGGTGTCACTCAGGTCATTCCAATGACTCAGGTGACTCTCAGGGGTCACTCAGGTCATTCCAATGACTCAGGTGTCACTCAGGTGTCCCCCAGGTGTCACTCAGGTCACTCAGGTGTCCCCCAGGTGTCACTCAGGTGTCACACAGGTGACTCAGGTGTCACTCAGCTCATTCCAATGACTCAGGTATCACTCAGGTGTGTCAGGTGTCACTCAGGTGTGTCAGGTATCACTCAGGTGTGTCAGAGGTCACACAGGTGACCCTCAGGTGTCACTCAGGTGATTCAGGTGGCATTCAGGTGACATTCAGGTGTCACTGAGGTTATTCAAATGACTCAGGTGTCACTCAGGTGCCCCTCAGGTGACACTCAGGTGACTCAGAGCTCACTCAGGTGACCCTCAGGTGACACTCAGGTCATTCAGATGACTCAGGTGCCCCTCAGGTGTCACACAGGTGACTCAGGTGACTCAGAGGTCACACAGGTGACACTCAGGTGTCCCTCAGGTGTCACTCAGGTGTCGCTCAGGTCATTCCAATGACTCAGGTGCCCCTCAGGTGTCACTCAGGTGACTCAGGTGTCACTCAGGTGTCACTCCGGTGTCACTCAGGTGTCCCCCAGGTGTCACTCAGGTCATTCCAATGACTCAGATGTCTTTCTGGTGTCACACAGGTGACTCAGGTGTATCAGATGTCATTCAGGTGCCACTCAGGTGATTCAGGTGACATTCAGGTGTCACTCCGCTCATTCCAATGACTCAGGTGACCCTCAGCTCATTCAAATGACTCAGGTGTCACTCAGGTGTCACTCAGGTGTCACTCAGGTGTCACACAGGTGACTCAGGTGTATCAGATCTCATTCAGGTGTCACTCAAGTGACACTCAGGTGTCACTCAGGTGATTCAGGTGCCCCTCAGGTGTCACTCAGGTGACTCAGAGGTCCCACAGGTGACCCTCAGGTGTCCCCTCAGGTGGCTCTGCGCTCTTTACCCGAGGAGGCGGTGAAGGAGGCCCTGGAGTACAAGGTGCTGCAGTCCCAGTTCTCGCTGCTCTACCACGAGAGCCTGCAGGTGAAGACGCAGCTGGACGAGGCGCGGGCGCTGCTGCTGGCCACCAAGAACAGCCACCTGCGCCACATCGAGCACATGGAGGTGCGGCCCCACCTGTCCCCAGGTGTCCCCAGGTGTCCCCAAGTGTCCCTCAGGGGGTCCCGTTGGGTTTTGGGGTGGTTTGGGGTCATAAAATCCCATAATGCCTCAGTCAACATGGCCGCCGGTGCCATAAATCCCATAATGCCTCATTCAAAATGGCCGCCAGTGCCATAAATCCCATAATGCCTCATTCAAGATGGCCGCCAGTGCCATAAATCCCATAGTGCCTCATCCAAGATGGCCGCCGGTTCCACATTGAGCACATAGAGGTGCGGCCCCACCTGTTCCCAGGTGTCCCCAAGTGTCCCCCAGGGGGTCCCGTTGGGTTTTGGGGTGGTTTGGGGTCATAAAATCCCATAATGCCTCAGTCAACATGGCCGCCGGTGCCATAAATCCCATAATGCCTCATTCAAGATGGCCACTGGTGCCATAAATGCCTCATTCAAAATGGCCACCAGTGCCATAAATCCCATAATGCCTCATTCAAGATGGCCGCCAGTGCCATAAATCCCATAGTGCCTCATCCAAGATGGCCGCCGGTTCCACATTGAGCACATAGAGGTGCGGCCCCACCTGTTCCCAGGTGTCCCCAAGTGTCCCTCAGGGGGTCCCGTTGGGTTTTGGGGTGGTTTGGGGTCATAAAATCCCATAACGCCTCAGTCAAGATCGCCGCCGGTACCATAAATCCCATAATGCCTCATTCAAGATGGCCACCAGTACCAAAAATCCCATAATGCCTCATTCAAGATGGCTGCCAGTGCCATAAACCCCATAATGCCTCATTCAAAATGGCCACCAGTGCCATAAATCCCATAATGCCTCATTCAAGATGGCCACCGGTGCCATAAATCCCATAATGCCTCATCCAAAATGGCTGCCAGTGCCACATGGAGCACATGGAGGTGCGACCTCACCTGTCCCCAAGTGTCCCCCAGGTGTCCCTCAGGGGGTCCCGTTGGGTTTTGGGGTGGTTTGGGGTCTTTAAAATCCCGTAATTTCTTATCCAAGATGGCCGCCGGTGGCACATTGAGCACATGGAGGTGCGGCCCCACCTGTCCCCAGGTGTCCCCCAGGTGTCCCTCAGGGGGTCCCGTTGGGTTTTGGGGTGGTTTGGGGTCATAAAATCCCATAATGCCTCATCCAAGATGGCCGCCAGTGCCATAAACCTCATAATGGTTCATCCAAGATGTCCGCCAGTGCCATAAATCCCATAATGCCTCATCCAAGATGGCCGCCAGTGCCATAAATCCCATAATGCCTCATCCAAAATGGCTGCTGGTGATGTAAATCCCATAAGGCTTCATTCAAGATGGCCGCTGGTGCCATAAATCCCATAATGCCTCATTCAAGATGGCCGCTGGTGCCATAAATCCCATAATGCCTCATTCAAAATGGCCGCCAGTGCCATAAATCCCATAATGCCTCATTCAAAATGGCCGCCAGTGCCACATTGAATATAAATATATATTAAAATATATTTGCAATTATATAATAATTATATATAATAATATATATTATTATATAATGTATAATTATTATAGAATTACATATTAATAATTTATAATATATTGTTTTATAATTATTTAATAATAATTTGTAATATAATATATAATTATTCTTATATAATATATAATAACAATTTATATAATTATATAGTTTAATAATTATTATTATATATATATAATAATTTATATATATAATTATATACAAAATATATATTAAAATAATAATACATAATATATATTATAAATAAATAATTACTATATTTAATATTTTAAACTAAAATACTGGGAAAAAAATCTAAAAAAAATTCATTTAAAAATCACAAAAAAAGCACAAAAAAAAATTCATTTAGAAATCGAAAAAAAATCATTTAAAAATAAAAAAAAAATCCGAAAAATTCATAAAAAATCACCAAAAAATCACAAAAAAAATCGGAAAAAAACCGGAAAAAATTCCCAAACATCCCAAAAATTTAAATAAAGTTTCTGGAATGTTCCAGAGCGATGAATTGGGGGTGCAGAAGCGCCTGAGGACGGAGGACACCTGGCCCCAACTCTGCCCAACAGCCCCAAAAAACCAAACATCAACCAGATTAAAAAACCCCGAAAAATCCCTTAAAAATTCCAAATAATATATATATATAATAATTTATAACTGCAATTATATATATAATTATATATATATATTTATACATATACAATTATACCTATACAATATTATGTATTAAAATAATAATATATAATATATATATTATAAATTTATAATCAATATATTTAATATTTTAAACTAAAATACTGGGAAAAATCGAAAAATATTCATTTAAAAATCGAAAAAAAATCCGAAAAATTCGTAAAAAAACACAAAAAAATTTAAAAAAAAATCCAAAAAATTCGTAAAAAATCACCGAAAAATCCCCAAAAAATCCGAAAAAAATTCATTTAAAAATAAAAAAAAAAAATCTGAAAACTTTGTAAGAAATCACCAAAAAATCGCCAAAAAAATCGAAAAAAATTCATTTAAAAACCGAAAAGAAATCTGAAAAATTCGTGAAAAATCACTAAAAAATCACAAAAAATCACTAAAAAAAGTGCATTTAAAAATCGAAAAAAATCCGAAAAATTCGTAAAAAATCACCGAAAAATCCCCAAAAAAATCGAAAAAAAATCATTAAAAAATAAAAAAAAATCGTAAAAAATCACAAAAAAATCAGCAAAAAAATCAAAAAAAATTCATTAAAAAATCAAAAAAAATCGTAAAAAATCACAAAAAAATCACAAAAAAAAATCGGAAAAAAATCTGAAAAAATTTCCAAACATCCCAAAAATCCAAATAAAGTTTCTGGAATCTTCCAGAGCGACGAGCTGGGGGTGCAGAAGCGGCTGAGGACGGAGGTGATCCAGCTGGAGGACACCCTGGCCCAGGTGCGCAAGGAGTACGAGATGCTGCGCATCGAGTTCGAGCAGAACCTGGCGGCCAACGAGCAGGCGGGTGAGGAACAGCTGGGGGGCAAAAAAATTGGGGAAAATTGGGGAAAAATGGGAAAAATTGGGAAAAATCCGGTGAAAATTGGTGAAATTTTGGAGGAAATTGGGGAAAATTGGGAAAAATCTGGTGAAAATTGGGGGGAAATTGGGGAAAATTGGGAGAAAATTGGGGGGAAATCGGTGAAAATTGGGAGAAAATTGGGGAAAATTGGGGAAACTTGGGAGGAAATTGGGGGGAATTGGTGAAAATTGGGAGGAAATTGGGGAAAATTGGGGGAAAATCGGTGAAAATTGAGGGGAAATCTGGTAAAATTTGAGAGGAAATGGGTGGAAATTGGGGGAAATCCAGTGAAGTTTGGGAGGAAATCGGTGAAAATTGGGAGGAAATTTGGGGAAATCCAGTGAAGTTTGGGAGGAAATTGGGGAAATTTGGGAGGACATTGGGGAAATTTGGGGGAAATCCGGTGAAAATTGGGAGGAAATTGGGGGAAAATCGGTGAAAATTGGGAGGAAATTGGGGAAATTTGGGAGGACATTGGGGAAATTTGGGGGAAAATTGGGAGGAAATTGGAGAAAATTTGGGAGGAAATTGGGGGAAATCCGGTGAAAATTGGGAGGAAATTGGGGAAAATTGGGGGAAATTGGGAGGAAATTGGGGAAAATTGGGGGAAAATCGGTGAAAATTGGGGGGAAATGGGTGAAAATTGGGGGTTTAGGGGGATTTTTTGGGGGATTTTTTTGAGAATTTTTTTGGGATTTTTTTGGGAGATTTTTTATCTCACCTGTCCCTCACCTGTCCCTCACCTGTCCCTCACTGTGATCAATTCAGTGAATTTTTAACTGAATTTCACTGATTTTTGGGGTAAAATCCTCGGGATTTTGGGGATTTTTTTGGGGATTTTTTTTGGGGATTTTTTTGAGGATTTTTTGGGGGATTTTTTGGGGATTTTTTTTATATCTCACCTGTCCCTCACTGGGATCAATTCAGTGAATTTTTAAGTGAATTTCGCTGATTTTTGAGGTAAAATCCTCGGGATTTTGGGGATTTTTTGGGGGGGATTTTTTTTTATCTCACCTGTCCCTTACTGGGATCGATTCAGTGAATTTTTAAGTGAATTTCGCTGATTTTTGAGGTAAAATCCTCGGGATTTTGGGGATTTTTTGGGGGATTTTTTTGGGGGATTTTTTTGGGGGATTTTTTTGGGGGATTTTTTTTTGATTTTTTGGAGGATTTTTTTTTTTTGGGAATTATTTTTATCTCACCTGTCCCTGCCCTGTCAGGCCCCATTAACCGCGAGATGCGCCACCTGATCAGCTCCCTGCAGAACCACAACCACCAGCTCAAGGGCGACGTGCAGCGCTACAAGCGCAAGCTCCGCGAGGTGCAGGCCGAGATCAACAAGGTGGGCGGGGCTTAACCTCAAAAAACCCCGGGGGGCGTGGCTTTAAGGGGTGTGGTTTATTTAAAACCGGTGTGGTTTGTTTAAATGGGGTGCGGTCCCTTTAAGAGGCACGGGGTTCCTTTAATAGGGTGTGGTCACTTTAAGAGTAGGTGTGGTCTCTTAGAGTGGGTGTGGCCTTCTTAAGAGTGGGTGTGGTCACTTAATAGGGGTGTGGTCCCTTTAAGAAGCGTATGGTTTTTTAATGGGGTGTGGTCTCTTTAAGAGTGGGTGTGGTCTCTTTAATAGGGGTCTGGTCCCTTTAAGAAGCGCATGGTTGCTTTAATTGGGGTGTGGTCCCTTTAAAAGTGGGCGTGGCCTGTTTAATAGGGGTGTGGTCTTTTTAAGAAGCGTATGGTTCCTTTAATAGGGGTGTGGTCTCTTTAAGAGTGGGTGTGGTCTCTTAGAGTGGGTGTGGCCTTCTTAAGAGTGGGCGTGGTCTCTTTAATAGGAGTGTGGCCCCCTTAGGAAGCATATGGTTCCTTTAATAGGGGTGTGGTCCCTTTAAGAGTGGGTGTGGTCTCTTAGCGTGGGTGTGGCCTTTTTAATAGGGGTCTGGTCCCTTTAAGAAGCATATGGTTCCTTTAATAGGGGTGTGGTCTCTTTTTAAGAGTGGGTGTGGCCTTTTTAATAGGGGTCTGGTCCCTTTAAGAAGCGTATGGTTCCTTTAATAGGGGTGTGGTCTCTTTAAGAGTGGGTGTGGTCTCTTTAATAGGGGTGTGGTCCCTTTAAGAAGCGTATGGTTCCTTTAATAGGGGTGTGGTCCCTTTAAGAGTGGGTGTGGTCTCTTAGAGTGGGTGTGGCCTTCTTAAGAGTGGGCGTGGTCTCTTTAATAGGAGTGTGGCCCCCTTAGGAAGCATATGGTTCCTTTAATAGGGGTGTGGTCCCTTTAAGAGTGGGTGTGGTCTCTTAGCGTGGGTGTGGCCTTTTTAATAGGGGTGTGGTCCCTTTAAGAAGCATATGGTTCCTTTAATAGGGGTGTGGTCTCTTCAAGAGTGGGCGTGGTCTCTTTAATAGGGGTGTGGTCCCTTTAAGAAGCATATGGTTCCTTTAATAGGGGTGTGGTCTCTTCAAAAGTGGGCGTGGTCTCTTTAATAGGGGTGTGGTCCCTTTAAGAAGCGTATGGTTCCTTTAATAGGGGTGTGGCCTCTTTAAGAGTGGGCGTGGTCTCTTTAATAGGGGTGTGGTCCCTTTAAGAAGCATATGGTTAGTTTAATAGCGGTGTGGTCTCTTTAAGAGTGGGTGTGGCCTTTTTAATAGGGGTGTGGTCCCTTTAAGAAGCGTATGGTTCCTTTAATAGGGGTGTGGCCTCTTTAAGAGTGGGCGTGGTCTCTTTAATAGGGGTGTGGTCCCTTTAAGAAGCGTATGGTTCCTTTAATAGGGGTGTGGTCTCTTTAAGAGTGGGTGTGGTCTCTTAGAGTGGGTGTGGTCTCTTTAAGGGTGGGTGTGGCCTCTTTTATGGTGGATGTGGTCCCTTTAAGAGTGAGTGTGACCTTAACAGTGGGCGTGGCTCTTTTAAGGGAGGCGTGGCCCACCTAAAAATGGGCTGTGGCCCCTTTAAGAGTATCTGGCCATGGCTAAAAGGGGCGTGGCCTCCTTTAAGGGGCCACACCCATCTCTTAAAGGGACCAGGTTCAAAAAAACAGGACCTGGCTCCTTTAAGAGATGGGTGTGGCCACTTGAAGGGGTGTGGCCTATTAAAAAATGGGGTGTGGTCCTTTAAGAGCATGTGGGCGTGGTCTAAAGGGGCGTGGCCTCTTTTAAAAAATAAACTTGGTCCCTTTAACAGCAAAGCCTCAAATTTAAATGGGCGTGGTCCCTTTAAGGATGAGGGCTGGGCTTGAATTGGGCGTGCCTTAAATGGGCGTGGCCCCTTTGTAGTGGGCGTGGTCCTCCTGACTCCTCCCCCTTTTTCTCTTTTAGCTCCGCCTCCAAGCCAGCGGCGCCCCTCCCCCACCCACCCCCGCCCCTCCCCCACCCCCTCCTCCCTCCTCCTCTTCCTCCGCAGGCCCCGCCCCCTCCTCAAGCTCCGCCCCTCCCCCTGAAGAAACCCCGCCCCCCACCACCACCCAAGCCCCGCCCCCTTCCGATGACAAAGAGGGCGTGGCCTCCTCCGTCCCTGCCCCCTCCTCTCAGGACCCTCCCCCTCCTAAATCCGCCCCTCCCCCTCCCAAAGAGGAAGAGGAGGAACCTCCAGGCCCCGCCCCCACCCCGAGCCCCGCCCCTTCTCAGCCTCCTCAAGCCCCGCCCCCTCCCAGGCCTTTGGCCCCGCCCCCTCCAAGGCCCCGCCCCGAACGAGGGGTGGGGGGCGGGGCAAGAGGGGAGGGGCGGGAACGGCCCAAGGGGGGCCCCGAGGAGGGGAAGAAAAAGGACTCGGAGGTGCTGAAGCAGCTGAGGGCGGAGCTTAAGTGAGTACGGGGGCGGAGTTATGCTAATGAGATGCTGATGAGATGCGTGGGAGGGGTTCTGGGGAAGCTAAATTAAAAATTGGAGGATTTTGAGGGATTTTAGGGGGATTTCAGAAAGATTTTTGGGGGAGTTGGGAGGGGTTTGGGGAACACGGAAGAGGTGTTTATGCAAATGAGATGCTAATGAGGGGTGTGGGAGGGTTTTGGGGAGGGGTCCTGGGTGGTGTTTGGGGGAATTTTGGAAAGATTTGGGGCGTTTTAAGGGGATTTGGGGGGAGTTGGGAGGGGTTTGGGGGGTATTGGGAGGATATTTATGCAAATGAGATGCTAATGAGGGATGGTGGGGGGTCTAGAGAAAAATTGGGGGGATTTTGGGAAATTTCAGGGGATTTTTTGTTGATTTTTGGGGGGTTTTGGGGGAGTTTAGAAGGGTTTGAGGGGTATTAAAATCATGTTTATGTAAATTATATGCTAATGAGGCAGTGGGAGGGGTTTAGAGTGGAGTTGAGAAGATTTGGGCGAGATTTTAGGAAGATTTGGGGGCGGGGGGTTGGGACATTTTAGGGGGATTTTGGGGAGTTTAGAAGGGTTTGAGGGGTATTAAATGGGTGTTTATGCAAATGAGATGCTAATGAGGGGCATGGTGGCAGGGTTTGGGGAGGGGCCTTTGAGATTGTTGAGAGATTTTAGGAATTTGGAGAATTTTAGGAAATTTTAGGGGGTTTGGGGGGGAAGTAAAGGTGGCTTGGAGAAGGATTGAGGTGTGTTTATGCAAATGAGATGCAAATTAGATTCAAATGAGCCCAGAAAGGCGCAGGGGAAGCAGGAAATGGAATTTGGGGCCGATTTTTTGGGCTTTTCAGGGCCAATTTTTGGGGCTTTTTGGGGTAAATTAAAGGAATGGAGCCAAATAAATACAGAAAATTTCTTAAATTATGCAAATGAGATGCAAATGATCCCAGAAAAGCACAGAGAAAGCAGGAGATGAAATTCGGGGTTGATTTTTGGGGCCCATCTGGGTCAATTTTTGGGGTTTTGGAGACAAAATCAAAAGGGTTGAGTGAAATAAAAAGGGGTGGCTTTCCTGATTATGCAAATGAGATTTAAATGAGATGCAAATGGTCAGCAGGAAGGCGCAGGCGAACCAGAAGGAAATGAAATTTGGGGTCGATTTTTGGGGATTTTTCATGGCCAATTATTGGGGATTTGGAGCAAAATTTGGAGCGGAGCAAAATAAAGGGGCATGGTCCATTAGAGTTATGCAAATGAGATGCAAATGAGCCCAGAAAGGCACAGGGGAAGCAGGAACTGAAATATGGGATTGATTTTTGGGGCTCTTCCGGGTTGACTTTGTGGGATTTTGGGACAAAATTAAACAGGCGGAGCCGAACAAAAGGGGGCGTGGCCTTTCCGATGATGCAAATTGTATGCAAATGAGATTCAAATGGCCCCCAGGAAGGCGCAGGAGAACCAGAAGGAGATGAAGCTGCTGCTGGACATGTACAAATCGGCCCCCAAGGAACAGCGGGACAAGGTGACGCTGATGGCCGCCGAGAGGAAGAGCAAGGCTGAGGTAATTAGCGCTAATTAACGCTAATTAACGCTAATTAACACTAATTAATGCTAATCAGGGGGTCCTCGATGCCACGGGTTGGGTTTGTGTAGTGGTAAGTCCTAATGAAGGGTTTATGAGGTGGGATTAATTGCTGGTTAATGGTTAATTATGTATTTAATAATTGAATAATGATTAATAAATGACTAATATATGGTAATTAGTGACTAATTAGCGGCTAATTAGGGATTAATTAATTAACGGTAGAAGATGCATGGCTGCTGGAGGAGCGGGAGCGCCGCGAGTCCAAGAACTCCCTTTCATTTCTATGGGTTAATTATTTCAACAATGTCTAATAAATGGTTAATTAATGGGTATTAATTATTATTTAATTATTATAAATATTCCACTATACATTACAATTTATATTGCAGAAAATATTATATTGTGTTTTATGTATTTATGTTAAATATATTGTATTATATTGTATTATAATATATTTTATTATATTATATTATATGGTTGATTTATGATTATTAATCAATCATTATATATTCTATAATTTATTAAATTTTACTGTATTATTTATTACAAATAATATATATCTTAAATATATTATATTATATTATAGTATAGTATAGTATATTACATTATGTTATATTATGTTATATTATACTGTGTTTTATTACATTAAATTGTATTTTACTATGATTTATTTTATTAAAATAATTAATTATTGATTAATTAATAACTAATGAGCTGGAGGAGCAGGAGCGCCGTGAGTCCAAGATCTCCCATTCATTCCTATGGGTTAATTAATGAAACAATGACTAATAAACAGTTAACAAGCATTTAATAAATCATTAACTAGCAATTAATTAATAAATAATTAATGAGCTGGGTGAGCTGCGGGTGCCGCTGGAGAAGCAAGTCCAAGATCTCCCATTCATTCCTATGGGTTACATAACTAATAATGATAATGAACAGTTAAGAAATTATTAATAAATTATTAATTAATTATTAATAACTTATTAATTTTAATTAATTATATTAATATTTATAATTATATTAATTATTCTTAATTATTAATTATTTATAATTAATTATATTAATTATTAATTAACAAGCTGGAGGAGCTGCGTGGTAGCTGGAGGAGCCGGAGCACCGCGAATCCAAGGACTCCCATTCATTCCTATGGGTTAATAATTAAACAAAGATAAGAAATGATTAACAGATTAATAATAATAATTAATTAGTGATTAATTAACGATTAATTAATCAGCTGGAGGAGCTGCGGTGCCGCTGGCGGGAGCTGGAGGAGCGGGAGCGCCGGGAATCCAAGAAATTGGCGGACGAGGAGGCGCTGAGGAGGCTGAGGATGAGCGAGGAGCAGATCGAGCACCTGCAGAGGAGGCTGGCGGCCACCAAACAGGTGAGGGGCATAAACAAACAAAAAAAAAAACGGTGAAATTTGGGTTAAAAATGAGGATTTGGGGTGAAAAACGGGGATTTTGGGGTTACCTGGGGGGACATAAACAAAAAAAACCCCGTGAAATTTGGGTGAAAAATGAGGATTTGGGGTGAAAAATGGGGATTTTGAGGTTACCCAGGATACACCTGGGCACACCTGGGGGGGCATAAATAAAAAAAAACCTGTGAAATTTGGGTTAAAAATGAGGATTTGGGGTGAAAAACAGGGATTTTGGGGTTACCTGGGCACACCGGGGGGGGCATAAATAAAAAAAACCAGTGAAATTTGGGTGAAAAATGAGGATTTGAGGGTGAAAAATGGGAATTTGGGGCGATAAACGGGGATTTTGGGGTTACCTGGGCACACCTGGGGGCACCTGGGGAGGGGAAAAAAGGATTAAAATTGGTGAAAATTGAGGGTAATCCATAGAGACAAGATGGCCGCCGCCAGTATTTAGAACAACCCAGAGAGACAAGATGGCCACCATGAGGGGATGCAGTAAGCCAGAGAGACAAGATGGCCGCCATGAGGTGATGCAATAACCCAGAGAAACAAGATGGCCGCCATGAGGGGATGCAATAACCCAGAGAGACAAGATGGCCACCGTCAGTATTTAGAACAACCCAGAGAGACAAGATGGCTGCCATGAGGTGATGCAATGACCCAGGGAGACAAGATGGCCGCCATGAGGGGATGCAGTAAGCCAGAGAGACAAGATGGCCGCCATGAGGGGATGCAATAACCCATAGAGACAAGATGGCCGCCATCGGCGGGTGGGGATGGCTGGGGGACGTCAATGGGTGGGGCAAGATGGCCGACATGAGGGAAAAGGACAAGATGGCTGACATTAGAGAAGGGGACAAGATGGCGGATGATAGGGAATGGGACAAAATGGCTGCCATCAGGGAAGAGAACAAGATGGCCGCTACAAGGTGATGCAATAACCCAGAGAGACAAGATGGCCGCCATGAGGTGATGCAATAACCCAGAGAGACAAGATGGCCGCTGTCAGTAGATAGAACAACCCAGAGACACAAGATGGCCGCCATGAGGTGATGCAATGACCCAGAGAGACAAGATGGCCGCTGTCAGTAGATAGAAAAACCCATAGAGACAAGATGGCCGCCATGAGTCATCCAATAACCGAGAGAGACAAGATGGCTGCCATGAGGTGATACAATGACCCATAGAGACAAGATGGCCGCCATGAGGTGATGCAATAACCCAGAGAGACAAGATGGCTGCCATGAGGCAATACATAAACCCACGGAGACAAGATGGCCGCCATCCGGAAATGGGACAAGATGGCCGCCATCCGGAAATGGGACAAGATGGCCGACATCCGGAAATGGGACAAGATGGCGGCAGTCAGTGGGCGTGGGTTATGACATCACCTCATGGCAGCCATCTTGTGTCTCTGGGTTATTGCATCACCTCATGGCGACCATTTTGGATCTGTGGGTTATTGTTTTACCTCATGGCGGCCATCTTGCGTCTCTGGGTTATTGCATCTGCTCATGGCGGCCATCTTGTTTCTATGGGTTATTGCATCACCTCATGGCGGCCATCTTGTCTCTATGGCTTGTTCAAATTACTGATGGCAGCCATCTTGTCTCTCTGGTTTATTCCATCTGCTGATGGCGGCCATCTTGTTTCTAAGGCTTATTGCATCCCCTCACGACCGCCATCTTGTCTCTATTGGTTATTCTAATTACTAATGGCAGCCATCTTGTCTCTCTGGGTTATTGTATCCCCTCATGGTGGCCATCTTGTCTCTATGGCTTGTTCAAATTACTGACGGCGGCCATGTTGTCTCTCTGGGTCACTCCGTCTGCTGACGGCGGCCATCTTGTCTCTATGGCTTGTTCAAATTACTGACGGCGGCCATCTTGTCTCTCTGGGTCACTCCGTCTGCCGACGGCGGCCATCTTGTCTCTCTGGGTTGTTCAAATTACTGACGGCAGCCATCTTGTCTCTCTGGGTCACTCCGTCTGCTGACGGCAGCCATCTTGTCTCTATGGCTTGTTCAAATTACTGACGGCAGCCATCTTGTCTCTCTGGATTGTTATATCTGCTGATGGCGGCCATCTTGTCCCTCTGGGTTATTGCATCCCCTCACGGCAGCCATCTTGTCTCTCTGGATTACTGCATCTCCTCACGGCGGCCATCTTGTCTGTCTGGCTTGTTCAAAGCACTGATGGCAGCCATCTTGTCTCTCTGGGTCACTCCGTCTGCTGACGGCGGCCATCTTGTCTCTGTGGCTTGTTCAAATTACTGACGGCAGCCATCTTGTCTCTCTGGGTCACTCCCTCTGCCGACGGCGGCCATCTTGTCTCTGTGGCTTGTTCAAATTCCTGACGGCAGCCATCTTGTCTCTCTGGATTGTTATATCTGCTGACGGCGGCCATCTTGTCTCTCTGGGTTATTGCATCCCCTCACGGCGGCCATCTTGCCTCTATGGCTTGTTCAAATTACTGACGGCGGCCATCTTGTCTCTGTGGCTTGTTCAAATTACTGACGGCGGCCATCTTGTCTCTCTGGGTCACTCCGTCCGCCGACGGCGGCCATCTTGCCGCGCCTTTAGGAGGAGGAGGCGCTGCTGTCGGAGATGGACGTGACGGGCCAGGCCTTCGAGGACATGCAGGAGCAGAACCTGCGGCTGCTGCAGCAGCTGCGCGAGAAGGACGACGCCAACTTCAAGCTGATGTCGGAGCGCATCAAAGCCAACCAGATCCACAAACTGCTGCGCGAGGAGAAGGACGAGCTGGCCGAGCAGGTGCTGGCCCTCAAGGCCCAGGTGAGGCCCCCAAAAGGTCGTTAATTAGTCATTAATTAATATTAATTAGATTTTAGAAGCAGTTAATGGCTATTTATTAGGTATTAGTTGGGTTTATTAGAGGCCTAATAGCCATTAATGGGGGCCGAGCAGGTGCTGGCCCTCAAGGCCCAGGTGAGCTCCAAAAAGGTCATTAATTAGTCATTAATTAGTATTAATTAGATTTTAGTAGCTGTTAATAGCTATTTATTAGTTATTAGTTAGATTTATTAGAGGTCTAATAGGGTTTATTAGAGGTCTGATAGCCATTAATGGGGGCCGAGCAGGTGCTGGCCCTCAAGGCACAGGTGAGCTCCGAAAAGGTCGTTAATTAGTCATTAATTAGTATTAATTAGATTTTAGTAGCTGTTAATAGCTATTTATTAGTTATTAATCGGGTTTATTAGAGGTCTAATAGGGTTTATTAGAGGTCTAATAGCCATTAATGGAGGCCGAGCAGGTGCTGGCGCTCAAGGCCCAGGTGAGCTATGAAAAAGTGGTTAATTAGTCACTAATTAATGACCAATATTAATTATTAAATATTATTAAATTATAAATATTTTAATATATTTTAATCTATATTATATTTTTATATTATACAAATAATATATATTATATTGTAATATTATAATACTATAATATTATAATATTAATATATTTAATATATATTAATATTAATATATATTATGCATTATATACTATGTATTATATATTAGATATTATATAATATAAATAAGTATATTTTAGTATTTCAATAAATGTATTATAAATATTAAATTACTAAATTTTAAATATCAATCAAATATTAATTAGATTTTAGAAGCCGTTAATGGCTAGTTATTAGTTATTAGTTAGATTTATTAGCAGTCTAATAGGGTTTATTAGAGGTCTGATAGTCATTAATGGAGGCCAAGCAGGTGCTGACCCTCAAGGCCCAGGTGAGGCCCCCAAAAGGTCGTTAATTAGTCATTAATTAGTATTAATTAGATTTTAGTAGCTGTTAATAGCTATTTATTAGTTATTAGTTAGATTTATTAGAGGTCTAATAGGGTTTATTAGAGGTCTAATAGCCATTAATGGGGGCTGAGCAGGTGCTGGCCCTCAAGGCCCAGGTGAGCTATGAAAAAGTCGTTAATTAGTCACTAATTAATGACCAATATTAATTATTAAATATTATTAAATTATAAATATTTTAATATATTTTAATCTATATTATATTTTTATATTATACAAATAATATATATTATATTGTAATATTATAATACTATAATATTTTAATATTAATATATTTTATATATATTAATATATATATTATGCATTATATATTATGTATTATATATTGGATATTATATAATATAAATAAATATATTTTAGTATTTCAATAAATGTATTATAAATATTAAATTACTAAATTTTAAATAGCAATCTAATATTAATTAACTATTAGTAGCCATTAATAGCTATTTATTAGTTATCAGTCAGGTTTATTAGAGGTCTAATAGCCATTAATGGGGGCCGAGCAGGTGCTGGCCCTCAAGGCACAGGTGAGGTCCAAAAAGGTCATTAATTAGTCACTAATTAATATTAATTAGATTTTAGAAGCTGTTAATGGCTAGTTATTAGTTATTAGTTAGATTTATTAGAGGTCTAATAGCCGTTAATGGGGGCCGAGCAGGTGCTGGCCCTCAAAGCACAGGTGAGCTCCGAAAAGGTCGTTAATTAGTCATTAATTATTATTAATTAGATTTTATTAATTTTGGCTAATAATGCACTAATTTCAGCTGTTAACGCCCCGATTTCATTATTAATTAATTAATTACCAGTTAATTAACGGTCCCTGCAGGTGGAGGCACAGCTGCAGGTGGTGCAGGATCCCAAAATGACCAATCAGGCCTTAATTAGCTCTAATAATTGCCTAATAATCCCCTAATTTCACCTAGAAACTCCGGTTTTTTTGCTATTAACGCCCCGTTTTCACTAATTATTAATTAATTACCGACTAATTAACGGTTCCTGCAGGTGGAGGCACAGCTGCAGGTGGTGCAGGAGCCCATAATGACCAATCAGGCCTTCATTAGCTCTAATAATTGCCTAATAATCCCTTAATTTCACCTAGAACCGCCGTTTTTTTTTGCTATTAACGCCCCGATTTCACTAATTATTAATTAATTACCAACTAATTAACGGTTTTTTTCAGGTGGAGGCGCAGCTGCAGGTGGTGCAGAAGCTGGAGGAGAAGGAGCGGGGCCTGCAGAGCGCCCTGGGGGCCGTGGAGAAGGAGCTGAGCCTGCGCTCGCAGGCCCTGGAGCTGCACAAGAGGAAGGTGAGGGCGGGGCAGGGACACACCTGGGGACAGGTGGGGACAGGTGGGTCCCAGGTGGGTCTGGGTGGGTCTGGGTGGGTCTGGGTGGGTCCCAGGTACCCCCAGGTGTGCTCAGGTACCCCCAGGTGTGCCCCAGGTGTGTCCCAGGTGTGTCCCAGTTGCCCCCAGGTGTGTTCCAAGTGGGTCTGGGTGGGTCTGGGTGGGTCCCAGGTGGGTCTGGGTGTGTCCCAGGTACCCCCAGGTGCCCCCAGGTGTGTCCCAGGTGGGTCTGGGTGTGTCCCAGGTGTGTCCCAGGTGGGTTTGGGTGGGTCTGGGTGGGTCCCAGGTACCCCCAGGTGTGCCCCAGGTGCCCCCAGGTGTGTCCCAGGTGGGTCCAGGTGTGTCCCAGGTGGGTCTGGGTGGGTCCCAGGTGGGTCCCAGGTGTGCTCAGGTACCCCCAGGTGGGTCTGGGTGGGTCCCAGGTGTGTCCCAGGTGGGTCTGGGTGGGTCTGGGTGGGCCCCAGGTGCCCCCAGGTGGGTCCCAGGTGGGTTTGGGTGGGTCCCAGGTACCCCCAGGTGGGTCCCAGGTGGGTCTGGGTCGGTCTGGGTGGGTCCCAGGTGTCCCCAGGTGGGTCCCAGGTGGGTTTGGGTGGGTCCCAGGTGTGTCCCAGGTACCCCCAGGTGTGTCCCAGGTGTGTCCCAGGTGGGTCTGGGTGGGTCCCAGGTGTGTCCCAGGTACCCCCAGGTGTGTCCCAGGTGGGTCTGGGTGGGTCCCAGGTGTGCTCAGGTACCCCCAGGTGAGCTCAGGTGTGTCCCAGGTGTTGCCAGGTGTGCCCCAGGTACCCCCAGGTGTCCCCACCTGAGCTCAGGTGTCTCCCAGGTGGGTCCAGGTGTCTCCCAGGTGGGTCCCAGGTGGGTCCCAGGTGTGCTCAGGTACCCCCAGGTGGGTCTGGGTGGGTCCCAGGTGTGTCCCAGGCGGGTCTGGGTGGGTCTGGGTGGGTCCCAGGTGGGCCCCAGGTGTGCTCAGGTACCCCCAGGTGTGTCCAGGTGTGCCCCAGGTGGGTCTGGGTGGGTCCCAGGTGTGTCCCAGGTGTGCTCAGGTACCCCCAGGTGGGTCTGGGTGTGTCCCAGGTGTGTCCCAGTTGCCCCCAGGTGTGTTCCAAGTGGGTCTGGGTGGGTCCCAGGTACCCCCAGGTGTGTCCCAGGTGCATCTGGGTGTGTCCCACGTGTGTCCCAGGTGCCCCCAGGTGGGTCTGGGTGGGTCCCAGGTGGGTCTGGGTGGGTCCCAGGTGGATCCCAGGTGCCCCCAGGCGTGTCCCAGGTGTATCTCAATGGATCCTAGGTGTATCTCAGGTGTACCGCAGGTATATCCCAATGGATCTGAGCCATGCCCAGGTGTATCCCAGGTGTATTTCAGGTTTATTCAGGTGTATTTCAGGTGTATCCCAATGGATCCCAGGTGTATCCAGGTGTGCTCCAGTTGTTCTTTGCCATACCCAGGTGTGCCCAGGTGTATCCAAATGGGTCCCAGGTGTATCCAGGTGTGCTCCAGTTGTTCTTAGCCATAGCCAGGTGTCCCCAGGTGTATCCCAGGTGTCCCCAGGTGTATCTCAGATAACTCAGGTGTGTCTCAGGTGTATCCCAATGGATCTCAGGTGTATCCCAGGTGTGCCCAGCCATGCCCAGGTGTCCCCAGGTGTATCCCAGGTGTCCCCAGGTGTATCCCAGGTGTGCCCAGGTGTATCTCAGGTGTATCCCAATGGATCCCAGGTGTATCCCAGGTGTACCCCAGGTGTATCCCAATGGATCTGAGCTGTGCCCAGGTGTATCCCAGGTGTATCCCAGGTAACTCAGGTGTATTTCAGGTGTATCTCAGGTGTATCCCAATGGATCCCAGGTGTATCCCAGGTGTCCCCAGCTGTCCCCAGCTGTCCCCAGGTGTGTCCCCAGGTGTGTCCCAGGTGTCCCCAGCTGTCCCCAGGTGTCCCCAGGTGTGTCCCAGCCGTGTCCCCGTCCCCAGGCAGTGGAGGCAGCCCAGCTGGCCGAGGACCTGCGTGCCCAGGGCGAGCACGTCCAGGCGCGGCTCCGGGAGCTCCAGGTGTGCCCAGGTGTGCCCAGGTGTATCCCAGGCGTATCCCAGATAACTCAGGTGTATCCCAGGTGTAACCCAGGTGTATCCCAATGGATCCCAGGTGTATCCAGGTGTGCTCCAGTTGTTCTTAGCCATAGCCAGGTGTATCCCAGGTGTCCCCAGGTGTACCCAGGTGTATCCCAATGGATCTCAGCTGTGCCAGGTGTGCCTCAGGTGTATCCCAATGGATCCCAGGTGTATTCAGGTGTATTCCAGTTGTTCGTAGCCATACCCAGGTGTATCCCAGCTGTGCCCAGGTGTAGCTCAGATAACTCAGGTGTACCCAGGTGTGCTCCACTTGTTCGTAGCCATACTCAGGTGTATCCCAGGTGTATCCCAATGGATCTGAGCTGTGCCCAGGTGTCCCCAGCTATCCCCAGGTGTGTACCAGGTGTGCCCAGGTGGATCCCAGGTGTATTCAGGTGTGCCCAGGTGGATCCCAGGTGTATCCCAATGGATCCCAGGTGGATCCCAGGTGTATCCCAGGTGTGCTCCAGTTGTTCTTAGCCATACCCAGCTGTCCCCAGGTGTGTCCAGGTGTATCCCAGGTAACTCAGGTGTATCTCAGGTGTATCCAGGTGTACTTTAGTTGTTCTTAGCCATACCCAGGTGTACCCCAGGTGTATCTCAGATAACTCAGGTGTATCCCAGGTGTACCCAGGTGTCCCCAGGTGTATCCCAGGTGTATCCCAGGTGTATCCAGCTATGCCCAGGTGTGCCCAGGTGTACCCCAGGTATATCCCAATGGATCTGAGCCGTCCCCAGGTGTATCCCAAGGGATCCCAGCTGTCCCCAGGTGTCCCCAGGTGTGTCCCCAGGTGTGTCCCCAGGTGTGTCCCAGCCGTGTCCCCGTCCCCAGGCAGTGGAGGCAGCCCAGCTGGCCGAGGACCTGCGTGCCCAGGGCGAGCACGTCCAGGCGCGGCTCCGGGAGCTCCAGGTGTGCCCAGGTGTGCCCAGGTGTATCCCAGGTGTATCCCAGGTGTATCCAGGTGTGCTCCAGTTGTTCTTAGCCATACCCAGGTGTATCCCAGGTGTATCCCAGGTATATCCCAATGGATCCCAGCTGTCCCCAGCTGTATCCCAGGTGTATCCCAGGTGTATCCCAGGTGTATCCCAATGGATCCCAGCTGTATCCCAGCTGTATCCCAGCTAACTCAGGTGTATTCAGGTGTGCTCCAGTTGTTCATAGCCATACCCAGGTGTATCCCAGGTGTATCCCAGGTATATCCCAATGGATCTGAGCTGTGCCCAGGTGTATCCCAGGTAACTCAGGTGTATCTCAGGTGTATCCCAATGGATCCCAGGTGTACCCAGGTGTATCCCAATGGATCCCAGGTGTATCCAGGTGTGCTCCAGTTGTTCTTAGCCATGCCCAGGTGTATCCCAGGTGTATCTCAATGCATCCCAGGTGTATCCCAGGTGTATCCCAGGTATATCCCAATGGATCTGAGGTGTGCCCAGGTGTATCCCAGCTGTCCCCAGGTGTATCCCAGGTGTATCCAGCTATGCCCAGGTGTACCCCAGGTATATCCCAATGGATCTGAGCCGTCCCCAGGTGTATCCCAAGGGATCCCAGCTGTCCCCAGCTGTCCCCAGGTGTATCCAGGTGTGTCCCCAGGTGTGTCCCCAGGTGTGTCCCAGCCGTGTCCCCGTCCCCAGGCAGTGGAGGCAGCCCAGCTGGCCGAGGACCTGCGTGCCCAGGGCGAGCACGTCCAGGCGCGGCTCCGGGAGCTCCAGGTGTGCCCAGGTGTGCCCAGGTGTATCCCAGATAACTCAGGTGTATCTCAGGTGTATCCCAATGGATCCCAGGCGTATCCAGGTGTGCTCCGGTTGTTCTTAGCCATACCCAGGTGTATCCTAGGTATATCCCAGGTGTATCCAAATGGGTCCCAGGTGTATCTCAGGTGTATCCCAGGTGTATCCCAATGGATCTGAGCTGTACCCAGGTGTATCCCAGGTAACTCAGGTGTATTTCAGGTGTATCCCAGGTGTATCCCAGGTGTATCCCAGTGGATCTGAGCTGTGCCCAGGTGTATTTCAGGTATAACTCAGGTTTATTCAGGTGCATCTCAGGTGTATCCCAATGGATCCCAGGCGTATCCAGGTGTGCTCCATTTGTTCTTAGCCATACCCAGGTGTATCCCAGGTGTATCCCAGGTGTATCTCAGGTGTATCCAGGTGTGCTCCAGTTGTTCTTAGCCATACCCAGGTGTACCCCAGGTGTATCCCAATGGATCTGAGCTGTGCCCAGGTGTATCCCAGGTGTGCCCAGGTGTATCCCAGGTGTGCCCAGGTGTATCTCAGGTGTATCCCAATGGATCCCAGGTGTATCCCAGGTGTACCCAGGTGTATCCCAATGGATCCCAGGTGTAACCAGGTGTGCTCCAGTTGTTATTAGCCATAACTCAGGTGTATCCCAGGTGTATCCCAATGGATCTGAGCTGTGCCCAGGTGTATCCAGGTGTGCCCAGGTGTATCCCAGGTAACTCAGGTGTTTCTCAGGTGTACCCAGGTGTATCCCAGGTATATCTTAGGTGTATCCAGGTGTGCTCCAGTTGTTCATAGCCATACCCAGGTGTGCCCAGGTGTATCCCAGGTATATCCCAATGGATCTGAGCTGTACCCAGGTGTGCCCAGGTGTATCCCAGGTGTATCTCAGGTGTATCCAGGGGTGCCCAGGTGTATCCCAGGTGTATCCCAATGGATCTGAGCTGTGCCCAGGTGTATCCCAGGTGTATCCCAATGGATCCCAGGTGTATCCAGGTGTGCTCCAGTTGCTCTTAGCCATACCCAGGTGTGCCCAGGTGTATCCAAATGGGTCCCAGGTGTCCCCAGGTGTGTCCCAGCCGTGTCCCCGTCCCCAGGCAGTGGAGGCAGCCCAGCTGGCCGAGGACCTGCGTGCCCAGGGCGAGCACGTCCAGGCGCGGCTCCGGGAGCTCCAGGTGTGCGCGGCCGAGAACCGAGCGGCCAAGGACAAGGAGTCGCTGAGCCTCAAGAGGGCCCAGGTGAGAGCCAAAAATTCCCCAATTTTAGGGGTTTTTTTGGGGGGATTTTTTAAAAAAATTTTGGGTTTTTTTTTGGGGATTTTTGGGGAATTTTTGAGAATTTTTTTTGGAATTTCAGATGGATTTTTTAAGAATTTTCATGAATTCTTTAATGGATTTTGGAGTGATTTTGGGGGATTATTTTTGGGGGAGTGGAATTTCTGGGACATCTTTTTTTTTAATTTTGGGGGATTTTGGGGGCATTTTTTGGGGCATTTTGGGGAATTTTTTTTGAATTTTAGGTGGATTTTTTAGGAACATTCATGAAATTTTTAATGGATTTTGGGGGATTTTTTTGGGGGGGAATTTCTGGGACATCTTTCTCTAAATTTTCAGGGGATTTTTGGGGCATTTTTTGGGAATTTTGGAGCTTTTTTTTTTGAGTAATTTCTGGAAAATTTTTAGGAAATTTTGGGGGTTTTGGGGATAATTTGGGACCATTTTGGGGAATATTTTTGGGAAATTTTTGGGAATAATTTTTGAGGTTTTTGGGAAATTTCGGGGAATATTTTCGGGAAATTTTTGGGCATAATTTGTGAAGTTTTTGTGAATATTTTTGGGAAATTTTGGGATCTTTTTGGGGAACATTTTGGGGGAATTTTGGCCATTTCCGCCCTCAGGAGGAGCTGTCGCGGCTGCGCCGGAAGCTGGAGAAGCAGCGCAAGGTCGAGGTCTACGCCGACGCCGACCAGATCCTGCAGGAGGAGATCAAGGAGTACCGGGTGAGCCTGACGGGACCTTCCGGAACCTTCCGGGACCTTCCGGGACCTTCCGGGACCTTTTGGTGCCTTCCAGAACTTTCTGGGACCTTTTGGGGCCTCCTGGGAGCTCGAGGAACCTTGAGGGACCTTGAGGGACCTTGGGTGGAGCTTCCGGGACCTTTTGGGGCCTTCTGGGACCTCCCAGAACCTTTTGGGACCTCAAGGAACCTTGAGGAACCTTGAGGGACCTTGGGTGGAGCTTCCGGAACCTTCCGGGACCTTCTGGGACCTTCCAGAACTTTCTGGGACCTTTTGGGGCCTCCTGGGACCTCAAGGAACCTTGAAGAACCTTGGGTGGAGCTTCCAGGACCTTCTGGGGCCTCCTGGGACCTCCCAGAACCTCTTGGGACCTCAAGGAACCTTTTGGGACCTTCCAGAACTTTCTGGGACCTTTTGGGGCCTCCTGGGAGCTCCAGGAATCTCTTGGGACCTTGGGTGCAGCTTCTGGGACCTTTTGGGGCCTCCTGGGACCTTGAGGAACCCTGGGTGGAGCTTCTGGGACCTTTTGGGGCCTCCTGGGACCTCAAGGAACCTCTTGGGACCTCAAAGAACCTTGGGTGGAGCTTCTGGGACCTTCTGGGGCCTCTTGGGACCTCAAGGAACCTTGAGGAACCTTGGGTGGAGCTTCTGGGACCTTTTGGGACCTTGAGGGACCTTGAGGAACCTTGGGTGGAGCTTCCGGGACCTTTTGGGGCCTCCTGGGACCTCCCAGAACCTTTTGGGAGCTCAAGGAACCTTTTGGGACCTTCCAGAACTTTCTGGGACCTTTTGGGGCCTCCTGGGAGCTCCAGGAACCTCTTGGGATCTTGGGTGGAGCTTCTGGGACCTTTCGGGGCCTCCTGGGATGTCTCAGAACCTTTTGGGACCTCAAGGAACCTCTTGGGACCTTGGGTGGAGCTTCCAGGACCTTTTGGGGCCTCCTGGGACCTCAAGGAACCTTGGGTGGAGCTTCTGGGACCTTTTAGGGCCTCCTGGGACCTCCCAGAACCTCTTGGGACTTCAAGGGACCTTAAGGAACTTTGGGTGGAGCTTCTGGGACCTTGAGGGACCTTGAGTGGAGCTTCCGGGACCTTTTGGGGCCTCCTGGGACCTTCTGGGGCCTCCTGGGACCTCCCAGAACCTCTTGGGACCTCCCAGAACCTTGAGGGACCTTGGGTGGAGCTTCCGGGACCTTTTGGGGCCTCCTGGGACCTTGAGGAACCTTGAGGAACCTTGGGTGGAGCTTCCGGAACCTTCCGGGACCTTCTGGGACCTTCCAGAACTTTCTGGGACCTTTTGGGGCCTCCTGGGACCTCAAGGAACCTCTTGGGACCTTGGGTGGAGCTTCCAGGACCTTCTGGGGCCTCCTGGGACCTCCCAGAACCTCTTGGGACCTCAAGGAACCTTCTGGGACCTTCCAGAACTTTCTGGGACCTTTTGGGGCCTCTTGGGACCTCAAGGAACCTTGAGGGACCTTGGGTGGAGCTTCTGGGACCTTGAGGAACCTTGGGTGGAGCTTCTGGGACCTTTTGGGGCCTCCTGGAACCTTAAAGAACCTTGAGGGACCTTGGGTGGAGCTTCTGGGACCTTGGGTGACTCTTGAGAACTTTGGTTGACTTTGGGTCGTTTCAGTTGACCATTGATGGTCTTGGTTGACCATTGAGGTCCATTCATGACCTTCAATGACCTTCATTGACCATTGATGACCTTCAATGATCTTGGTTGACCATTGACAACCTTGGTTGACCATTAATGACCTTTATTGACCTTGGTTGAGCATTGACGACCTTGATTGAGCATTGATGACCTTGATTGACCTTGGCTGACCACTGATGACCTCAGCTGACCATTGATGACCTTTATTGACCTTGGTTGAGCATTGACGACCTTGATTGACCATTAATGACCTTGATTGACCACTGATGACCTTTACTGAGCTGGGTTGACCATTAATGGCCTTGACTGACCTTGGCTGACCATTGATGACCTTCATTGACCATTGATGACCTCGGTTGACCGTTAATGACCTTGGTTGACCTTGATTGACCATTGATGACCTTTACTGACCCTGGCTGACCATTGACGACCTCAGTTGACCATTAATTACCTTAGTTGACCATTAATGACCTTGGTTGACCTTGGCTGACCATCGATGACCTCAGCTGACCATTGATGACCTTGGCTGACCATTGATGACCTTGGTTGACTTTAGTTGACCATTAATGACCTTTACTGACCTTGGTTGACCATTAATGACCTTTATTGATCTTGGTTGACCACTAATGACCTTGGTTGACCTTGGTTGACCATCGATGACCTCAGCTGACCATTGATGACCTTTATTGACCTTGGTTGACCATTGATGACCTCGGCTGACCATTGATGACCTCAGCTGGCCATTAATGACCTTTACTGACCTTGGTTGACCATTGATGACCTTGATTGACCTTGGTTGACCACTAATGACCTTGGTTGACCACTAATGACCATTAATGACCTTGGCTGACCATTAATGATCTTTACTGACCTTGGCTGACCATTGATGACCTCAGCTGACCATTAATAACCTTTATTGACCATTGATGACCTTTACTGACCTTGATTGACCATTGATGACCTCGATTGACCTTGGCTGACCATTAATGACCTTTCTTGACCTTAATTGACCATTGATGACCTTGGCTGACCATTGATGACCTTGATTGACCATTGATGACCATTAATGACTTTGATTGACCATTGATGACCTTGGTTGACCTTGGCTGACCATTGACAACCTTGATTGACCATTAATGACCTTTTATTGACCTTTTTTGACCATTTATGACCTTTATTGACCTTGGTTGACCATTGATGACCTTGGCTGACCATTGATGACCTTGGCTGACCATTAATGACCTTTACTGGCTTTGGTTGACCATTGATGACCATTGATGACCTCGGCTGACCATTGATGACCTTGGTTGACCACTAATGACTATTAATGACCTTGGTTGACCATTGATGACCTTCATTGACCTTGGCTGACCATTCACGACCTTGGCTGACCATTGATGACCTTGATTGACCATTGATGACCTTGATTGACCTTGGTTGACCATTAATGACCTTGGCTGACCATTGATGACCTTCATTGACCTTGGCTGACCATTGATGACCTTTATTGACCATTGATGACCTTTACTGACCTTGGTTGACCCTTGACAACTTTGGTTAACCATTAATGACCTTTAATGACCTTCATTGACCATTAATGACCTTTATTGACCATTGATGACCTTTATTAACCTTGGCTGACCATTAATGGCCTTGATTGACCTTGGTTGACCATTGATGACCTTCATTGACCTTGGCTGACCATTGACAACCTTGGCTGACCATTGATGACCTTGTTTGACCTTCATTGACCATTGATGACTTTGGTTGACCATTGATGACCTCGATTGACCACTAATTACCATTAATGACCTTCATTGACCATTAATGACCTTTACTGACCTTGGTTGACCCTTGACGACTTTGGTTAACCATTAATGACCTTTAATGACTTTCATTGACCATTAATGACCTTTTCTTGACTTTGGCTGACCATTAATGACCTTTCTTGACCTTTCTTGACCCCCAATGACCTCTAACAACCCACAACAACCTCAACCACCCCCATGACCCTCGCTGACCGCGTGTCCCCCTCCGGCCAGGCCCGGCTGACGTGCCCGTGCTGCAACGCGCGCAAGAAGGACGCGGTGCTGACCAAGTGCTTCCACGTCTTCTGCTTCGAGTGCGTCAAGAGCCGCTACGACACGCGCCAGAGGAAGTGCCCCAAGTGCAACGCGGCCTTCGGCGCCCACGACTTCCACCGCGTCTACATCAGCTGAGCTGTGGTCATTCCTGGTGGTCACCTGTGGTCATTCTTGGTGACCAGTGACCATTTATGGTCATCCAGTGGTGACCACGACTTCCACCGCGTCTACATCAGCTGAGCTCTGGTCAGCTGGGGTCAGCTGTGGTCATTCTTGGTGACCAGTGACCATTTATGGTCATCCAATGGTGACCACGACTTCCACCGCGTCTACATCAGCTGAGCTGTGGTCATTCCTGGTGGTCAGCTGGGGTCACCTGTGGTCATCTGTGGTCACCCATGGTCATTTATGGTCATTCTTGGTGACCACGGCTACCAATGACCACTCATGGTCATCCAATGTTCATCCTTGGTGATCATGGCCACCAATGACCACCCATGGTCATCTGCGGTCATCTGTGTCCATCCTTGGTGACCACAGCCACCAATGACCACTCATGGTCATCCAATATCCATCCTTGGTGACCACAGCCACCAATGACCACCTGTGGTCATTTGTGGTCATCTGTGGTCATTCTTGGTGACCAATGACCACTCATGGTCATCCACTGTCCATCCTCGGTGACCACGGCCACCAATGACCACCTGTGGTCATCCAATGTCCATCCTTGGTGACCACAGCCACCAGTGACCACCTATGGTCATTTGTGGTCATCTGCAGTCACCTGTGGTCATCTGTGGTCACCCATGGTCATTTATGGTCATTCTTGGTGACCATGGCCACCAATGACCACTCATGGTCATCCAATGTCCATAATTTGGTGACCAATGACCATTTATGGTCATCCAATGTCCATCTTTGGTGACCACGGCCACCAATGACCACCCATGGTCATCTGTGGTCATCCTTGGTGACCAATGACCACCTATGGTCATCCAATGTCCATCCTTGGTGACCACAGCCACCAATGACCACCCATGGCCATCTGTGGTCATCTGTGGTCATTCTTGGTGACCAGTGATCACCTATGGTCATCCAATGTCCATCCTTGGTGACCACAGCCACCAGTGACCACCTATGGTCATCCAATGTCCATCCTTGGTGACCAATGACCACCAATGACCATTTATGGTCATCCAATGTCCATCCTTTGGTGACCACAACCACCAATGACCACCCATGGTCATCCAATGTCCATCTTTGTGACCACAGCCACCAATGACCGCTCATGGTCATCTGTGGTCATTCTTGGTGACCAGTGACCATTTATGGTCATCCAGTGGTGACCACGACTTCCACCGCGTCTACATCAGCTGAGCTTTGGTCACCTGTGGTCAGCTGGGGTCATCTGTGGTCATTCTTGGTGACCAGTGACCATTTATGGTCATCCAATGTCCATCTTTGGTGACCACGGCCACCAATGACCACCCATGGTCATCCAATGTCCATTTTTGGTGACCACAGCCACCAGTGACCACCTGTGGTCATCCAATGTCCATCCTCGGTGACCACAGCCACCAATGACCACCCATGGCCATCTGGGGTCATTCTTGGTGACCAATGACCATCTATGGTCATCCAATGTCCATCTTTTGGTGACCTGTGACCACTCATGGTCATCCAATGTCCATCCTAGGTGACCAATGACCACCAATGACCATTTATGGTCATCCAATGTCCATCCTTGGTGACCAATGACCACCAATGACCACCCATGGTCATCCAATGTCCATCCTTGGTGACCACAGCCAGCAATGACCATTTATGGTCATCCAATGTCCATCTTTTGGTGACCTATGACCACTCATGGTCATCCAATGTCCATCCTTGGTGACCACAGCCACCAGTGACCACCCCTGGTCTTCTGTGGTCATTCTTGGTGACCAGTGACCACCTATGGTCATCCAATGTCCATCTTTTGGTGACCACGGCCACCAGTGACCACCTGTGGTCATTTGTGGTCATCTGCAGTCACCTGTGGTCATCTGTGGTCATTTATGGTCATCCTTGGTGACCACGGCCACCAGTGACCATCTATGGTCATTTTTGGTCATCTGTGGTCATCTGTGGTCATTTATGGTCATTTATGGTCATTTTTTGTGACCACGGCCACCAATGACCACTCATGGTCATCTGTGGTCATCTGTGGTCATTCTTGGTGACCAATGACCATTTATGGTCATCCAATGTCCATCCTTGGTGACCACAGCCACCAGTGACCACTCATGGTCATCCAATGTCCATCCTTGGTGACCACGACTTCCACCGCGTCTACATCAGCTCAGCTCTGGTCATTCCTGGTGGCCATCTGTGGTCATCTGTGGTCATCTGTGGTCATTCTTGGTGACCACAGCCACCAATGACCACTCATGGTCATCCAATGTCCATCCTTGGTGATCATGGCCACCAATGACCACCCATGGTCATCTGTGGTCATCTGTGTCCATCCTTGGTGACCATGGCCACCAATGACCGCTCATGGTCATCCAATGTCCATCCTTTGGTGACCATGGCCACCAATGACCATCCATGGCTATCTGTGGTCATCTGTGGTCATTCTTGGTGACCAGTGACCATTTATGGTCATCCAATGTCCATCTTTTGGTGACCACAGCCATCAATGACCACCTATGGTTATCTGTGGTCATCTGTGTCCATCCTTGGTGACCGCGGCCACCAATGACCACTCATGGTCATCCAATGTCCATCCTTGGTGACCACAGCCACCAATGACCACCCATGCTCATCCAATGTCCATCCTAGGTGACCAATGACCACTCATGGTCATCCAATGTCCATCTTTGTGACCACGGCCACCAGTGACCACCCATGGTCATCTGTGTCCATCCTTTGGTGACCCATGACCATTTCTGGTCATTCAGTGTCCATCCTTGGTGACCACGGCCACCAGTGACCACCCATGGTCATCTGTGGTCATCTGCAGTCACCTGTGGTCATCTGTGGTCCCCCATGGTCATTTATGTCCATCCTTGGTGACCACAGCCACCAGTGACCATCTATGGTCATTTTTGGTCACCTGTGGTCATCTGTGGTCATTTATGGTCATTTATGGTCATTCTTGGTGACCACAGATACCAATGACCACTCATGGTCATCTGTGGTCATTCTTGGTGACCAGTGACCATTTATGGTCATCCAATGTCCATCTTCCGGTGACCACGGCCACCAGTGACCACCTGTGGTCATCTGTGGTCATCTGTGGTCACTCATGGTCATTTATGGTCATTCTTAGTGACCACAGCCACCAATGATCACCCATGGTCATCCAATGTCCATCTTTTGGTGACTTATGACCATTTATGGTCATTCAGTGTCCATCCTTGGTGACCACAGCCACCAATGACCACCCATGGCCATCTGTGGTCATCTGTGGTCATTCTTGGTGACCAGTGATCACCTATGGTCATCCAATGTCCATCCTTGGTGACCACAGCCACCAGTGACCACCCGTGGTCATCCAATGTCCATCCTTGGTGACCAATGACCACCAATGACCATTTGTGGTCATCCAATGTCCATCTTTGTGACCACGGCCATCAATGACCACCCATGGTCAGCTGTGGTCATCCTTGGTGACCAATGACCATTTATGGTCATCCAATGTCCATCCTTGGTGACCACGGCCACCAATGACCCCTCATGGTCATTTGTGGTCATCTGCAGTCAGCTGTGGTCATCTGTGGTCCCCCATGGTCATTTATGGTCGTTCTTGGTGACCACGGCCACCAATGACCACTCATGGTCATCCAGTGTCCATTTTTGGTGACCACGACCACCAGTGACCACCCATGGTCATCTGTGGTCATCTGCAGTCACCTGTGGTCATCTGTGGTCATTTGTGGTCATTCTTGGTGACCACGGCCACCGGTGACCACCCATGGTCATCTGTGGTCATCTGTGGTCATTCTTGGTGACCAATGACCATTTATGGTCATCCAGTGTCCATAATTTGGTGACCAATGACCATTTATGGTCATTCAGTGTCCATCCTTGGTGACCACGGCCACCAGTGACCACTCATGGTCATTTGTGGTCATCTGCAGTCAGCTGTGGTCATCTGTGGTCACCCATTGGTCATTTATGGTCATTCTTGGTGACCACGGCCACCAATGACCACTCATGGTCATCCAATGTCCATCCTTGGTGACCATGGCCACCAATGACCGCTCATGGTCATCAATGTCCATCCTTGGTGACCAATGACCACCCATGGTCATCCAATGTCCATCTTTGGTGACCACGGCCACCAGTGACCACCCATGGCCATCTGTGTCCATCTTTTGGTGACCTGTGACCATTCTGGTCATCCAATGTCCATCTCTGGTGACCACGGCCACCAATGACCACCCATGGTCACCTGTGGTCATTTTTGGTGACCAATGACCATTTATGGTCATCCAATGTCCATCTTCTGTGACCACGGCCACCAGTGACCACCCATGGTCATCTGTGTCCATCCTTTGGTGACCCATGACCATTTCTGGTCATCCAATGTCCATCCTTGGTGACCACGGCCACCAGTGACCACCTATGGTCATTTCTGGTCATCTGCAGTCACCTGTGGTCATCTGTGGTCATTTATGGTCATTCTTGGTGACCACAGCCACCAGTGACCATCTATGGTCATCTGTGGTCATCTGTGGTCATTCTTGGTGACCAGTGACCACCCATGGTCATCCAATGTCCATCCTTGGTGACCCACGGCTACCAATGACCACTCATGGTCATCTGTGGTCATTTATGGTCATTCTTGGTGACCACGGCTACCAATGACCGTCCATGGTCATTCAATGTCCATCCCTTGGTGACCACAACCACCAATGACCACCGGTGGTCACTCTGTGTCCATCCCTGGTGACCAATGACCACCAGTGACCACTCATGGTCATCTGTGGTCATTTATGGTCATCCTTGGTGACCACGGCCATCAATGACCACCCATGGTCATCTGTGGTCATCCTTGGTGACCAATGACCACTCATGGTCATCCAGTGTCCATAATTTGGTGGGCCTATAACCATTTATGGTCATTCAGTGTCCATCCTTGGTGACCACGGCCACCAGTGACCACCCATGGTCATTTGTGGTCATCTGAGGTCACCCATGGTCATTTATGGTCATTCTTGGTGACCACAGCTACCAATGACCACCCATGGTTACCAATGTCCATCCTTGGTGACCTGTGACCATTTATGGTCATCCAATGTCCATCCTTGGTGACCACGGCCACCAATGACCACTCATGGTCATCCAATGTCCATCCTTGGTGACCACAGCCAGCAATGACCACTCATGGTCATCCAATGTCCATCTTTGGTGACCACGGCCACCAATGACCACCTATGGTCATCTGTGGTCATCTTTGGTGACCAATGACCACCCATG